ATACCCCTCCAGCGGCCCTGGAAGCTCCCCACAGTGGCCCTGGAAGCCCTCCCCCATCAGCGGCCCTGGAAGCCCTGCCCCGGGTTGGCCCTGGAAATCCCCCCTCCCCCCAGCGACCCTGGATGCCCTCTCTGCTGCCTCCCAGTTCTCCCTACTACAAGGGCAGGAACTCCTGGAGACACCGACTCCTGGACTTACAGCATGGGCTTTTCTCCAGTTTCTTTCATTCCTTGTTGCACTCTAGTGTCTCCCATCTCACTGTTTTCTGAAGTTGTTTTCTCGCAGTGCTGTGCAGTATTCCACTGCATGAATAGACCACGTTTTTTCTGACGGCATCTTTAATAGGGAGAAAATTTGTGGAATCCCCTCTTACTCCCATGAGGATGTCACTGTCCTCACCACCATGATACAGCAGGCAGCCTGGCCCTCGGGGGATGTGCTAGGAGAACTTGGGCTAACCTCTGTCCTCTCACTCTGCTCTTCTCGCTGCTGAGCATCCTTTCTGCCAGTCACTCAACCTCTCTTCTGCTCATGCCAGAATTCTCCCATGAGTTCTGGTCTCCTGTCCTGGGCTGAGACATCCCTCTCTCTGGAATACTTACACCTTTATTCCACACCAGTCCATCCTGTCACCGTCTTTGAAACCTCCTGCTCCTTCTGAACCCCCATCTCATGTCCTTGGGATGGTTCCAGGCTCACCCTTATCCTCATGCCCCTTATGCTCCCTCTAAACCCCCATCTCACATCCTTGGGGTGGTTCCAGGCTCGCCCTTGCCCTCATACCCCTCGTGCTCCTTCTGAAACCCCCTGTCTCTTGTCCTGGGGTGGTTCCAGGCTCGCCCCTGCCCTTCCACCCCATCCTCAGCCCATCGGCTATGCTGGCTTCACTTCTGTCCCTGCAGTTCAGCCGGTCCATATTGCTGGCCGCGTTCCTCCCTCCAGGCCCGTCTTTCCCACCTGCTGACTTGCTTCCAGCCTCCTGCCATGGTATGGCTGAAGCTGGCTCTTGCCCACGTTATCTGCACTTCAACTGTGGAGAGGGGGACAGAGTGGGAAGTAACGAATTTGCCTTTCAGGATGGGATATCCTTAAGTTGGTAAAGGTTGATATTTACTGTGTTAGCAATTAGAACTGAGAACATTTTTAAATGTTTTTATTCTTTAAAAAAGAAAAAGCCCATTGCATGATCATGTAAATAGCACATTTTATGAAAATTAGCTGTATTTCCAAAACAAAAAGAAGGAGAATGGCATTGGTTTGTATTTTTGAGCATCTCTTTAATGCCTTGCTAAATGAAAAACAGCTGGGTTCCTGTAGTAGCTTTCTTGTTCCATACACACCGCCATATGTTGTTTTGGTTGAAGTGTATGAACGCAACCTAGCCTCATGCAGACACAAGTTGGAAAAGGGAGGAGCGTTGGATGTTTTTTTTTAGATGTTTGTGGATATATTCCCTTTTGATACCATATCTAAACTCTATAAGTAGTGATTTCTGGAGGATGATTTGTGATGTGGTATTGGCAAGCATGTCAATGGAGTTTTTGTCCTCTTACAATAAAATCCACTGGTATGTCTTGTATTTGGGATGGATCTCTTGCCTAGCCTGATTTTCTTACATCATGCATTGGTCACTTGAAAAACATTGCTTCACTGAATTTTACAGATCTTCCTGATGTTGACACTTTTATTGTGCTGTTCAAAAAACCCACCCCTTAATGTCACCACCGACCTCATCAGAGGAGTCTTTAAGAATAGATAGCCTGGCAGTGGCAGATACAAATTTTCAAAAATTCAGCTTTTGCTTTGAAGCCAGAATTTTGTCTTTGACAGTAAATATGTCAGTTGTTTTCTTTGAAGGAACAGGCTCACTTTATCCTTTTTGAGCAAATTTTTGCCAAATACCCAAGTCTTAATCACTGGAATTTCTCTGTCATTCTTTCAAGTAGCTTCCCTATTGCAGAGAGATGCAATTAGTTCAGTCCTGACTCAAGCAGCCCTAATCGCACTTTTTCTGGAGACGGTCGTTGTGCTTGAGCACACAGAAGGGCTTTATACCGAGTTCCATTTGGCACGCAGAATATTCGAGAGTCCATAAGATGAATACTTTGTTCTGCTTTATCAAGGATTCTTAAGTGAAAACGTAGACCCTTTTAAGCAAGTCCTACTGTGAATTCGCAGTCCAGTGTGGAGAATACAATGACTGCCAGCAAAGTGTGCAGCCACCACCTTTGTGTCATGGTGAGTTTACTCAGTGCACTTTTGTACCATTTGTGCAAGTGTCAACCTAGCAAAACAGGCAAAGAATGTCTCAGGATTATTATAAAAAGAATTCTCATGGGCCTCTTGAAAGGGCCTCTGCTATCTTAGGGGCTGTGGGTCACACTTGGAAAACCACTGTCCTGGATGTTATTCGGTACCTGATGAATGCCAGCTTGAGACCTGGTGTTGCAATGACTAGCTCAAGGCAGACTTAAGTCGTGGTTTCACGTGTGGTGTGGCTCTGCCTCCCTCTGTCATATCCCTGACAGCCTCCCTGGATCCTTAGCCATATGGGTAGGATGGGAGCCGCTGGGGTACCTGTTCACATTTGCTTTTTGTTTAATCATTCAGGAAGTATTAACCAAGCCTTGAGTCTCAGTCAGCTTTGTGCTGCAGTCATAACACCCAAGGCCAGGTAATTCATAATGACAGAAATTTATTGACTCACAGTTATGGAGGCTGGGAAGTTCATTATTAAGGTGTGGCTTGTGGCTTGTGGCTTGTGGCCAGGCCTTCTTCCTGGTCATTCCATAGGGAAGGCCAAGGGCCAACGCAAGCAAGAGAGGGCGGAGCTTGCTCTTTTATAAAGTGCCAGTCCCACCCTTGGGTTCAGGGCCCTTATGCTGTCCTCACCTCTTAAAGGTCCCACCTTGTTACTGTCACAGTGGCAATGAAGTTCCAGCATGAGCACTGGAGGGGACAGACAGCTGAGCCAGGCCAGGCCGTCCTCTAGGCTGTGTGCCCTCCTGTGGGGCTTCTTGTGCCCTGCCTCACACCAGCCACCTGTCCTGATTTCCCATTGCTACTGCAGCAATTGCCACAGACCCAGTGGCCTAACACAGCAGGGTCACTGCCTTGCAGCTCGGAGACCTCCTGGATCAACGTCAGGATGTCGTCAGGGCTGGCCTCCTTTCCAGAACCTCTAGAAGAGTGTCTGTCTGTTTCTTTGCCCTCTCCAGCCTCCTGTGTCCCCTGGCTTGGTGCCTCCTTCCTCCATCTTCAAAGCCAGTCATGCTGTGTCTCTCTGACCACAGTCGAGAAAGGTCCTCTACTTTTAAGGATGTGTGTGATTAGACTGAGTTCCATATAATGCAGTATCATCTCCCCTTCTCTAGTTCTGTCACTGAATCATGTCTGCAAAGTCCCTTTTGCCACAAGGGGTAGCAAGTCACAGATTCCAATTATGGCACATGGGCTTCTCTGGGGCCACTGTGCCTGCCAAGCATGCCTGTAAAGTGTGTGTTAAATACTGTCGCAGGATGGAGGAAGGGTCCTGGCCCATGGCTCAGTCCCCAGAGCTTTGTTCCCCCCAGACATCAGAGGCCAGCTGTCTGGACTCCATTGCGGTCCACCTCTTCCAGAGTGTGAGCTTCTCGACTGTGCTTCCAGGGGAATGTACACCTCCACTGAGGACCTACTTGCCGCACGGCCTTGACAGTCCACCCTGCCACTTCCCTGTAAGTGCCTTGGAGCTCCTGACCTGCATTCTTGCCTGCCTGCGGTGTGGCGCAGTGTCCAGGACACAGTGTGCAACCAAGAAACGTTTGTTGATTCATTAATGCATCACTGATTTATCTTCATGCACACCCAGTGACTTTGTTGCGTTTTGTCTGGTGCATATAGAAAGAAGCCATACCCATGACGACAGAATGGCCCTCGTTCTAAGAACATAAAGGCTTGTGGTGAGGCCTGTGAGAAGTGGTGGCAGGTGATGTCTGGGTGAAAGGGCCTGGGTGTGTCCCCTCAGGCTTGTACCCGCAACACAGTGCGAACCTGCACTGGCTGTGGCTGAGCTAATGCCCAGGGGAGTTGCTGACATGGGTTCTCAGCCATGGCGCAGCATGGCTGGAGTCTCCAAGTGTCTGCAGGCCTGCTCTGCTGACAACCGGAACGTAGCCTGCTGGAGGTGGCCAGCACAGAGATGAAGACCAACTGCAGAGGCATTTTAATTCAGCTCAGGCCAACTTTACTAAGGACATATATTTCATGGAGGGCCTTTTACAAAGCTCCTAGGGACCCATTCAAGAGTCACTGGAGCCTGGCCCACAGGTCCACAGCATCTCTGCCCCTCCAAACTGCTCTGACCTCCGCCTCCTCCTAGGAGGCCATTCGTATCAACATGGGCGGGAAGCTGCACCCAGCCGTTGTCAAGCGGCCATTTTGCTTTGTTTTGGACTGTTGGCTGTGCATGTCCTTGTCACATGGCAGTGTGTTGATGTTGCCTTTGCCCTTTTACTGACTGTTGGAGTGAAGACCCAGTTGTGGCTTCGAACCCACTATTTGTGCCTCCATCCTGCAACTCCTGACCTCCTATTCCTAGCCAGCCTCCCATCTTTCCACCCTCTGCACCGGCTTGGGGGTGGGGATGGCCATGGGAATAAGCGTTTCTAGGTATCAGAGGCTGTGCCAGACACTGTGTGACACCCTCCGTTCTGACTCCTCAGAACACCCCATTGGAGAAAAGCTGTCATTGTGTTCTCCTGGAAATAGGGCGCGACCATGCACAGATTGGCCTCCAGGGGATGTGCCACAGCCTGAGTGAGCTATCAGAGGAAGGCATGCAGACACCTATGCTGGGGATCGCCCACTCTGCTTCACAGACAGGGCGGGGAGTCTTGGGGGAGTTAACGAATCTTCCAAGGTCAGCGGCCAGCAAGCAGAGTGGCTGGGACTGCCCAGGTGCGTGGGCTTGGCCCATGTGCCCAGTGTTCATCCTCCCAAGTCCTCCTGCGGCTGTCAAAAAGGTTTCAGTAGGGGCAGCCACTGACCTTCACCTCTCTTCCAATTGAGCTTGCCTTCTAAGAGCAGAAAATGGGTACACGGTCAGCCTGGAGCCATGCTCAGGGGTGGCCCTAGGGAGCCGCTCACCTGCCCAGCAGCAGAGGCATGAGGGTTCTCCACTTCACCCTGACTGGATGACTCTCTGCCTTTCCTGCCGCCGATGGGAAGCCCACTGCTGTCTGGGTCAGTCCCTTACCCTTGCTGTGAGGAGCTCTTCCTGACAGTCCTTCCTTCTCTTCCCTCCCCTTCCTCCTTCCCTTCCTTTCTCCTCCCCTTCTTTCTCCTCTCCTTCCTTCCCCTCCCCTTCTTCCTCTTCCCTTCTCCTCTTCCTCCCCTCCCCT